GGAGGAAGAATGTTTACCTTGAAGCCAGTGTAAGACATTTGCCATTCACGGTCGTTTTATCTCCTTGAGAGAATTTCTTCTTCAAGAATTTCATTCTCCTAATCTCCACCTCCATATATATGGCATCCGAGGGGTCACCTTGAAATAGCATGAAGAAGTAAGTCCTGTGCACGAGTGACACGTGGCAATCGTGCCAGAGTTCGATTATTTCTTGCTGGAGCCTCTTGAACTCTGTGGGCCACGTTGAAAGATCTTTTGGTTCGTCCTCGATTGGATCTAACCCCACATCCTTCACATTCTTCTTAGGGGGCTCGTCGATTTTCAGAGTCTCGTTTGACTGCAAGAAAAATTAATAACCAGGAAACTATTTAATTTACAAGGAACCTACTTTTTTTAAAAAAAAAAATCACGATTGCAATAAAAAATAATGGCTGAATAATACTCCTGAAAAAACGTGCAAACTCACCGGATTCTTTACGAACACATGCTCGACTGAGAGCTCATTCATATCCATCTCATCATTAGTGCTCTCAAAAACCACCTCTGTATTCGAACATTTCACATTCGGGCTATCATCAACCTCGATGTCAAGTGTGTTTCTTGGGGATGACTGAGAATCTTTTCTCAATAAACATTTCGCATCTGATTCAAAGCTCAATGGAGACAGTTTCTTCTCGAAACCCACATTTTCTCTTCTGGACTCGATAAACGATGATGAGTTCTCACTAAATTCGATTGTTTTGAGCCACGGGGAACTCGAGTCGGTTATACTCGCTTTGCAGCTTCTACTTTTAGTCAAACTCGGCAGCATTGGATTTATGGGCAATGAGTCTTTAACCTGCTCAGGAGTTGAAAAAGATGGATTTTTTATAGATGGATCATCAGGAAAACGAGCAGTCGAACTATTTTCTTTCCCTTCCTCATAAAAAGACTCCTTTTCTCCGAACCCATTTGAGGATACAGTTATTTCATCGCCTTTCTCCACAGGTGTTGACTGAAAAACTTGATCTTTGTCTAAAGAGGGGCTTAATGGGGATTCAAAATTTTGCCCCTCTTCTTCTACTTCGGGAAAACCTGTGTTTTCTTCAGGACATAATAATGAAGTGAATTCCTTATCACTCTTTTCGCTAGACCCTTGAGTCTCTACGCAGCGAACTTCACGACAAAGATCCTCGGATGATGTCCCATTGCTTTGTTTTTCAATGTCCTCCCAACCGTGATATGAATACCTCTCGCTAGAGGTTGAGGTTAAGAGTCTTGGAGATGCAGTGGCGTTTGCAAAGTCATCCTCGAAATATGGGACTTTTACGATTTGGCCCGATGAACTTGACCTGCTGTGGCCACCGGAACATGTTCGCGTGTCAATGTCTAAAGAGTGAGGGTCGGACAAAATGGATGATGCCCTAAGTTCGTTTTCTGGTGACTTGTGTACTCGCAAGTGAGGATAGTCGTCAAATCCCACCTATAGAAGAAATAATGAACTATTATAACATAACAATAACAAAGATAAAGAAATGTTTAATAAATTGTGAAGAAGAAGAAAAAAAAGAGAAGAAAAAAATCATTTGGTCAATGAATAGTTAGTTACCTGTGGTGCTGAATTGGTATCGTTGCCCAATATTCGTAGTAAATCCTTAACTTGGGATTGAGCAATGTCTCTTTGCAGAATAAGGTCATTATTTTCCTCCTCGAGCTGCAGTGGATGAAAATTGAAAGGACCAAGTTGAAAAAAGTTAGTTCTCAGAGCTTTAATTTAAAATTTTGCAATCAAGTGAAATTTTTAATTTTTCATAACAAGAAGAGGATTTAGTCATCTTCACAGATGAACCTTCAACTCAATAGTCACTGTGACCATCTCATCCATTAAGAATTTAATGATAAAAGTGTTAACCATTTTAATACTTCAGAATATTCTATGTGAATTTTGGATAAAATAAATCATTTTCACTCAAAAAGAATTTGAATGAAAGTGAGGTTAATATTCCTAACAAGAAACAAGACTAGCAACAAGGTGAAAAAAGATTCACATTCACTACCTTCTCAATTTGACGGTCTTTCTCTCTGAGTATAGCCGAATAATCGGAAGGTGAAAAACTCAACCGGGGGCTCCTAAGCTCGCTCTCTAGCCTCGCTAGCTCTCTCTGCAAATACTTCACCAGAGCTTTATCAGACATAACTACATTAACCCGAGCATTAGTTGTCACCTCCTTTGCACAGCTGGCGAAAAGGAGAGTGTTCCTCGATTGCTCCACGTGGCTTCTTGCAGGGCTCATCGTGCAAATAATGGCAGTTTTCGCATTCCCTCCCAAAGACGAATGTAGAATTCTGGTCAGCTTGGAGTCTCTGTACGGAATGTGCCCGTTTCGGTTTTTGCTGCGTACGTGAAAAAGAAATAGGATAAATAATTTAGAAAATTTTCGAGAGTGCGAGATTTGATCTACTTGTGATCTAACAATAAGAGTAAAC